TTGAACTGAATTTCCTGCAACTCTATTGCCCCCGAAGGTCAAGGAGAGCAAACACAAGGCTTTGTCTGTGTCGTGTGTGTGTGTGTGTGTGTGTGCCTGGTACTGTTTTTTGCCACTTCATGTTGCAAAGCTTTGTAATAATATTTTAGGCATGTCGTGAGGTGACAGACAAAGTATAAATATTTTCTCAGAATATTTATACAAATTCAAGAAAGAAAAACAATGTGAACGAATGCAACAAATTGTATATATTGAGATGCAAACTATAATTTGTCTTTCTGTTTTCCTTCTTTTTCCGTTCTCCGAGGAAAATGTCCAATATCTCCTGGAGAAGAAAACAAAACATGCATATGGATTTCGAGGTCAGCCAGGCAAAAATAATCCAGTCCCTCCTGGCTTACATGCAGTATGTGCACGTCTGCACCAACGTGCACAGCTTGACGTTAATGCCTGCACTCACAGTCAAAGTTCAGCCGTGTGAGCGTCTGACTAAACACAAGTGGAGAGTGTATTACATAATGCCATGATTTGAGCATGTCATCAAGGCGATGCCACGGAGACGGGGAGCAGCCTCCCCACCTCCTCCTTCTCCCTTCTCCCTTCTTACTCCTTCTCCTCCCTGCCAGCAAGGCATCCTGGGAGCGGTGCCTTCCAGCCACCTACATCTCATTACGCGAGGCTCAACGTGGCCTGCAGCTTCACGCTGACATTCAATTAAAGTCTTTCATTTCCCATCGTTTGCTCCGCCTCCGCGACTCTGCTGCTGCTCCCGCTGTCATTTGATAATTATTCCAAATATCCTCGCATTTAGACGTGAAGCTCTTCATTAGCCCTCGCACCCCTTGGTGTGTGCGTGAGTGAGAGAGAGAGCCGCGCACACACACACGCACACACCTGTGGCTCTGCAGGACGCCAGTCACGCTGACATTTTGGTTTATTTATAAGTGGGACAGTAGGAAAGCAGTCAGTGTTCTGGGTCATGTGACCTTCCTGCACTTCATTTCTGTAATTTCTTATCTTCACAAACAGAAACAAACAAAATGAAACAAACACACGGAAACCCTTTAATTATGGAATTCAATTATTCAATCATTCATCGTCTACCATTAAATCCTGTCCAGTGAGCTGGAGCCAGTCCCAGCAGTCACTGGGGTGAGTCAGGCTAACACCCTGGGTCGTTCAACTGTCCATCATAGAGCAGACTCCCTACAGTAAGACCATCAGTTACCACCAGGGGGCTGTCCTCCTTTGACGAGTCAAGCGTCCTCTCTAATGAACTCTGTCACATGTCTCGGTCTGTCGTCTTCTTACATAACTCTTCAGTGCTGATCACCAGGCCTGTTACCCGCTCTTTCTTGGTATTGATCGAAATCATAAACACCAACAGCCTGACCCTAATTATACCTTAAGTGAGGAAGGTCACGCGGCGACTCTGAGGTATTGATTTGACTTGGACTCAATCGATGGCTCACAAAAAACAGCAGGGATTATAAGTAATAAGAAGCTGCTACTGGCAGCTCCTGAAAAAACAATAATAGACAGGATCAGAAAAGAACTGAGGTGAAATAACAAAAAGATTTTAGATTGTAGATTGTGTTTTTTATACTACATATATGTTGTGTACATATAAAAAATTGTATATTTATATATAGTTGAAGAATTATAATAAAGTTATGTTGTCATGCCTGTGCACTCACCTCATTATCTATGGCATTTTAAATGCAGTTATAGCACCCCCTACAGGGGAAGAAAGAACACTACATTCTCCTTCAACGAAAACAAACTCAAAACACTTGTGTCACTCCTTGATTATGTCACTTCGTGCAACAAGGACTTGTTGGAGAATTGCAGTTTTTTTTGTGAAAAGTAAAACTTGCAGCAGAAACTCCGGAGACTTTCACCTCAGGGGATTCTCTCCGCCCCCAGTGGAGGATGATTCAGCTTAAATGGTCGAAAAAGAAGAGGCTTCATTTCAACAGCTTTCACTTATTTGCCACCTCAGCATATTTGGAGCATCATTAGCAGGAATAAAGTTCTCACAAAGCTGCACTCTGACAGCAGAGGCAGCAGCAGCGTCACACCCACAACCTGCTCTGAGTGGAGGCAGCCGTAGATTTGAGTTTTTTTTTTTTACTTAAAGCTGTAAAAATGCAGGTTAAAATAAACATGTTCTTGTCTCATCTAATCACCGTGACCTTGACAAGTGTCAAACCCAGAAGTAAACAGAAGTGTACTCAGACACAGAGTGGGTTCGCACCACTGTTATTCGCTGTCTTTTGGTTGTGGGTGAGCGTAAATCAAAAGTTTAGAAAGGTGCTCATTAATTCAAAACGACAACAAGGCGCAAAAAAAAAAAACGCAGCCCAATTGTAAATCCTTGGCTGACAGGTAGCCACGACAGATAAAGGAAGAGCAGCGCTGTCAACATAATGTGACTAGGCCCGTGTCACGCTGACAGAATAATTCATGGCAGTTTTTACAGTCTCGTGGGGGAAAGATTCAAGCACACCTTCAGCTCAGGCTCCTTCTTCCTCCTCAATGCATTAAACATAAGTGACGGGGGCTGGGTCTGGCTTCAGGTCTCTTCTATTCTCTTCTTGTTGCCAGGGGCTTTAAATGGTTGCAGCAGTGATGTGTAATTGTTTTCAAAGCACCACAAGAAAGCACATGAAAGAGGCTCGGAGCACTGCAGCACCTGTTGCTGTCACTTGTTGCAGATGAATTTGTTACAATAAATAAATAAATACATAAAGTCATTTCTGTTTCTAGTGGTTGATGCATGTAATGACGCAGGAGGTAAATATTCAACTTAATGTGAAGTGAAGCCAGTCGGTGAAACATTTTATGTTTAACAGAGGGGGAAATGACAGAATAAACCAGTATTTGTTGTTTTTTGGAAAACTTCAACAAAACTGACAAAGATATGAAGCCAGAGCGCTTCACTACAGATACTGCATTAAACTGAGTTTTTCTATCAAACGGGGCCCAGTACCAGGTATAAATGTATTATAAATTGTACACTTTTTAATGTTTTAAATGATAAAGTTAGCAATGTTAAAAAAAACAACAAAAACATTGTATAATAAGCTGAGAAAAATCATGACCTGATTCCAAAACCATCTTGGACCCTCTAGGGGGTTGCAGACCACCTGTTGAAAACCTCTGGTGTAAAGTGCTGGATACAGACAGATATTTTTCTAGGTTTATTTGCAGACAAAGTAAAAAGAAACAGATTCAGACCAGTTCAAACTGTGCTGTTTATTTGCACAGGAAAAAGGTCAAAGTTGAAGACTCTAAGCCACATGTGATCTCCATTATCACACTGTGAGCCTACACTGACTGTAAGGACAACTGGGCCTCACACACACACATACACACACACACAAACACAGCTTCAGTAAGACCATAGTCAGACCTGTAAAATTAAATTAAAACAATTTCTAAACAATATGACGTCGTCCAGTTCTGCGGTATTTGAGTTGCGGCCTTTAAGTTCAGCAAAAGCGCTGCAACACTGCCACCTTGTGGAAACGTCTCGTTAACAACGGTTGGCAGGTACAGTACTGTATTATGTGCCGTATTGAACCGTTTTCATGTTGAAAGTGAATCTTCTCAGCCCTCTGTCAGTAACTTTTGATTTTATTTAATAAATAAAGGTTTTCCATCAAAACAATATGTTTATAAGGTGAAAGAATTTACTACAGTAAACAAACCATGTAAATGCATAATTTTTTACCACCAGAGTAAGATGACATGTAAATGCATAATTTTTTACCACCAAAGTAAGATGAGATTTGAGATTTGACCTTTCAGTTATTTTTCAAACTTTAAATTCTGCTGCTTTAATCAAAGGTTGTCTATCAAAATGATAAGAACAAATATTTTAGGCCACAAGTTTAGTTATCAAATACTTGAAAAAAAAAATCATTGTTAGCCTTACCTTCACTTATAGATGAAGTCCGTGGTTGTATCCCTCGGTTTCCCCTCTTCTTAGCATTGTGGATGCTAATGTTTAGTGTCCGTTGCTCAGACGATACCACACGAGAATAAAAGACAATTAAATCGATCCTTGAATTTCCAAAAGTTTTTTAGGGAAATCTGGCTTCGAATGTTCGTGGTTGATCTTTCGTGTCTGCTGAGGCTTCTTTGTAAATGTTTCCGGTCACAGTATCCCGAGTTAGTCCAGACGATACCACACGATGAGAATAAAAGACAAGTAAAGCAGTAAAGGCGGTTATTTTCAGGACAGACACACAGCCAATCTTTTCGTTTTAGTTTGATGCAAACTTTTTACCTCCGGCGTTGGTCTTCCATCACTCTTTACCTTCTACCTTTGCACCGGAAGTCCAGTTTTGAGAAACTTTTTCGCCAGCTAGACAGCACCTGTCAGTTCACGTACGACCCCTTGAGGTGAAGCAGAGTACTGCCTGTCTCCCCTGCTGACTTTTCTACTACTCTCATTTCTACCTGATAAAATGTCAAAAATGTGTAGAGTCATACTGAAAATGCACCTTTAACACAGATCAGTGGAAAATATAAATATTTATTGTATGTACTTTTTTTCTTTTTTATCACGAGTGCCTCCCCTGACCGCACTGCTGACTTTGTGTATTGAACTACCGTGCTGTTCAATACACAAAGTATGTGCTTGTGCAAACAGAACCAGTAGGTGTCAGTAATGTAACTGAAATGATGCAAGGCTGTTAATGAAACGGAGAGAGAGGGCTTATCCTCCATCATCAACCACACATAAAAATAGGAAGAAAAAAAAGGAAATAAATAAATAAATAGACAAGTTTTTCATTATGAAGTCTTTTCCAGTGGGGTACGTGGTGGTGAAGTGGTCAGGGCTTCTGCTTTACTTCAAGAAGATAATTGGAAATCAGATTTGAGCCCTGGGCTCCCTGTAGGAATTTTTACATTTTACTGAAAACCAAAATTTTGGAAAGCTTTCCGTTTCCTTGAACAGCCTCTCCCCGCCTCGCCTCCACCTCCCCCTGCCCCCAAACCCCCACTAGGCGGCTCCGCTCCTCCTCACTCTTCTCCTCACTCTTCTACTCGCTCTGCTCTGAGGCTCATCAGCATGGAGGCAACCAAAGAGCAGGGAGCTGCTGTGTTTGGGACAGCGGAGATGGAGAGTCAGCGTACGGCACCGAAGAAACGTAACAACCGGAAGAATATCGTCATTGTGGTAGGTTTTAATTCACAATCTGTCACACGTATCTACCTCCACAAGGATAATAGCGACTTTTTCTTCTTTACAAAGTAGAATTTTTTTTTCTTCTTTGAACGAAAACACAATTAGTCATTATTTCCTGTTTGTAACATTAGTACTGTATATTGGTGCCGTAATGACGTAGTTATAGGTTCCTAAAAATACTTAATTAGCTTCATTTAGCTTCGTCTGTACAGTAGCAGCGTCACTTCCTGTACATGTGAGAACATTATTTAAAAGTCAGTTCAACAGTGGAAGAGAATTTAAGTCGTACTTTGAGTTTCTTTAAGGTTCTGTAGCGGTTAGGTGCGAAAACGGAGTTCACACTTAGTGAACGTGTTTGCAGTTGAAGTGCAAATGTACTTGTTTTAACGAGCAAATAAACTGAAGGTTTAAAGAACCCACAGTCTAGTGTAAAATAGTATTCGACGTAAGGTGCCAGAGACAGTCACAAACGTAACTTTTATGTTTTTTAAAAAGTAAAGTTATGTTAAAAACAAAAGAGAGAATTTAGGTGTAAAACCCCCCATTTTTTTATTTGTAAAAAATCCAAATTAGGAGATAAAGGGGAGGTGTGTTACAATCTTAACTCAGATCTAAATCACACAGTTCAAGACGTGTAGATTTACTGCAGGTTAGTGTAAAGCATAAGAAAAAAAAATGTTTACAATATGTTTACAGTTTAGTGAAAAGTACTTGATCTGATCGTAATCTCTGAGAATTAACAAACCACGACACTCCACCTTATCACCGCAGAGGCAGCAAGTTGCTATTGCGGTGATAAGACATTAAGGTTAGCAGTGAGGAGGGCTGGGGGAGAGCGGTGATCTATGGTAGATGGGGTAAAACATTACACCGCCGTGCCGTTTGTGACATATTTGTGGCAGTTTATTTATACACACATTCAACAATCCGTGTTCAGTGTTGTCTGATTCTCCAAACCTTCAATGCAAACAGTTGGGGACAGACGTGGACCGCAGGCAGGCCGGTCAAGCTCAAACGCTCACCGTTACAAAGTCATGAGTTTGTAGTTGTAATTTGAAACAAGTAATTCTCCAGAAGTCTTGTTGAAGATGGCTAATGGTTCAACAAGGCTCCTGAACATACGTTTGCGCACACATGCATAAATCAAACATATTTGCTCCACTCGCTCCGTGATGATACCTTTGGTTTGGTTACTGTCACTGTTTAGAGAGATTCCTCCTCAAACAACGGAGGCTCACAATGTTCACATCGCCCCGAGGCACTGGGACTGACCAAACATTTCCTGCGTGGAGCCTAATTCTGGGATGCATTGGGTGGTTTACATGAAGGCAAAAACCATAATTGTTATTAAAAAGATGGTGATTGTGCGGTTTGTTTTTTTTAGCTCTGCCGTGGTCGGTGATATGTCAGGGAAGAAATACAGTAAAGCTAATTTCTGTAGCTAAATTTAGCTAAAATTTAAAAAATGTATAACACGAAATCCGTCTCCATCCCTGGAATTTTTAATTTTTTTTTAACAACCTCAAATATTTACTGTCAAACTCCTGTGAAAAACCGTAGGAAGTGACATTTTCAGCAGCTGTCTGTGCTACTTGGCGATGATTGGACACACATGTGGCACAGTCTAGACAACAATATGTCCTTTTCCGGTCCTGTCCACACATCTGCCAGTGATTTAATGTTATTTCTTACGTTGTACACAGGCATCGCAACGAAAAACTCTCTCAGCACAACACAACTTTTTTTTTTGTTTCACGGAAACGCAAGGTATACTCATTCCATTTTCATCGTCTTTGCTCAGAACAGGAACTGAAACAGGAACTTATCATCTGTGTGTGGTCTGTTGTGGGTTGTTTTCCCCCTACCGTCTTCACTGGGGAGACAGTAGTCATGTTAAAATGTGTTTTCAGTGCCAGACGTAGGTTTCGACCAGACGGACTGTTGACTTTGCAGCCCACAAAAACACAGGCCTTCAGTCTTTGCCTTTCTGTTTTCCCTCACCTGTAGCCGTCAAAAATTTGTGAACACACATACACACACACTGCAGCATATATTTAATACATGTGCCATGTCGTGTGTGTAGAGTAATTGTTTATGGTGGATGATTCGGGAGTGAAAAACTGTCATGAAATATTAGTTAGTCATCGTAAACATTTTTTTTTAAAAAACGAAGAATTTCAACATTTGATATTGCAACGGAAATATATTTTCCGAATATACTCCAACTTTTTCACTTCCACACTGGGGAAATTCACATGCTGCAGGGAGAAAAGGTCAGAGGTCAGCAAGTAAAGACACAACAGTATGACACCTGGTTACTTAAGAAACCAAATAGAACACAATAAATGACTAATTGCTTAAACTAGTGTATTATATACACACCTGATGTAAAACTAAATGTGGTGATGATTAAGTTGTCCCAGAATTACTGCAGGGTTAGTAAATATCATATTCCGATTTGACTAGCTGTGATAAGTGAAGATGTCAAATGTGTTAAAAATAACACAGGCTGCACTATAGAATAGAACGTACAAAAATTTCAGCACTCTTTAAATCAAGCTTCCAAACCAGCTCTCAACCTCCGCCGCGTCATCATCATCACCACAACCACCCCCCCCCCTCCTCACTACTTCCGTTTTACCCCCCGTCTCCAGCTGTTACTAGGCAGATGTGAGCAGCAGGTAAACAAGAAGCAACGCGTTTAATTTGTCAGTTACAGCGGTGGAAACGTTGACGGTACCTGAAGGAGATTATTGTAAAAAAGTTCGTAAAGGTAAAAACACATGATGATACAGTTCTTTACCACCCACTAGTGGAGGAGTTTCATGTTGTAAATTACTATTTCTTTATCTAAAGAAAAACTTAACACAGTTAAAGGCATTATTCAATATTTTTTAAACCATCTTTTGCTAATCCATTGGTTCTCAATGTAGGGGGCATGGCCTATATTGTTGCTTTTTTTGGTGCTGGCATGTGGTTCCACAGTGTAGCGGTTAGCACACCTGCCTTGGAAGAACCACATACTTGCGCCTCAGAGAGGCAGCCTTTGATTCCCAGAAGAACCACATACTTGCGCCTCCGAGAGGCAGCTTGTTGTTAATGCAAGAATTTCCCAAGTGTGGGATCAATAAAGTTCTAAGTATTATTATTATTGTTATTATTATTATTATTGAAGTCTGACAGTTGCCCCTATAGACAGATGTTTCCACCTATCAACACAGAGTCCTGATGGACAAAGTCTAGCAAATCGCCAAAATAATTTGAATTACTTCTTTGGGGAACTAGAATGTTTATACAAAATATAAAGGTGGTCCACCTGCATGTGAACCTGACGCTAATCCTCACTTCCCTGCAAATCCAACTGATTTACAGTTTTCATAAAAGGAGCCAAAAGTCTGCAGCAGAGTGTTTATATTATGGTTTTAAAGGCTGTACTGTCGCTGACACTTCGTGTGTCTGTGGTGTCAGGAGAGCCGGCTTCAAATTAAAGGACATTTTAACGCACAGTATAATCATCCCGTAATTTAAAATGCATTCTCTCTGGAGCTTCGCTCTGTTTACATTTAACGGTCAATGTCCAACAACCGTGGAGACACCGTAGTGTTTACCTTTGTGGAGCTAAGTGCCCGTCACTTTTCCCCTGTGTTCAAGTCCACACGTCTTTAATCAAGTTGATGTCTTATCTGCAGTTACTGTAAATAATGTTGACAGCTAAGGTTTGGTGTCTGTGTCTCTCCAGGTCGTGCTGCTGTGTCTTCTGATCATCATCCTGGCCGTGGCTCTGTCAGTGAAAAACCACAGACACCAGAACAGTAGGTTTAACTGTCACTTCAGAAATACATAAAGTTACAGTTTTCTTCAGGAACAATGTG